ATCTGAGAACCTCTGGACACCATGGCCTGGCTAGAATCATTGGCCACCTCGGAGCCTGCTGTAAGTTTGTGGGTACTCTAACCTACAAGTGTGACGTAACTATTGCTTTACGGGTCTGTTTTCAGATACCAGAATCCTGATTGCTCTGAAACAACACTTGATAACTTGTGGGCCATAGACGTTATGGGAGGCATTTAATCATTCCGTAATCTCTGAACAGAGATTTTCCGGCCCTCTGGCCTGCCAAGAACAGTTTCTAGAAGTTGAAGCTATCTGAGACGGTTTGGTACTACGGTCCCCAAGCAGCCCTTCTCATCTATGTCGTGGGGGTACATCCGGTTGTTCTGATTCAGGGAGACAGTGGCGTGGGACCGCGCGTTTGATAATAGCATGTCGTTCGGCACGAAAACGTTAATTCTATGCTTTAAAAAATCGTTTTTTTCACTTCGTACACACACACATCTGCATGTATATATATATATATATATATATATATATATATATATATGTATGTAAAGTGTTACAAATCAAAGAAGAGATGTGCAGCTGTCTGACGTCTTTTATCCAAGTTACCAAGATTATTCTGAGCCGAAGGCTATATGCTGTTGAGAAAGAAGGCAAAAAGGGCGATAAAGTCGTTTTCAGAGTCAAGAGGTCTAAGGAGGCTCAAAGGTGACCAGTGGCGGGTCACTGCCTATAGCACTAGACCCAGGTTGGAAAGAGGCCATTAAAGCAGACGGGCCGTGACCGCCAGGTGGCCATAATTGTCGGCACGTCCTGGAGAGAACCCAGAATGAAGGCAACAGGCCCTGATCCGGCCAGGAACCGGAAATATATGAATTCAATGTCAGCGCAAACCTGCCCCCCGAGAAGTACCTACAGATCGCCGAGGCAGTCTAAGGCTCAGGCACGATGCACAGGTGTTAAATGGTCCAGGGATGCCAAAGACATAGGAGCCTACGCATAATAACTTGTCTTCCAGATGCAACATTTTCAAAGAGACTCTTCAAATCTATGCACTTAGGTTTTGCAGACAATGGAATCAAAAGGTTATTTATTCTGTGTTTGCCACGTGTCGGCGCGGATGTAACTGCGTGCTATGCGTATTGCGGAAACATTGCAGATAGGATAGGGGTTTTTGGTATAAAGAGAGCACTTTTTTGCAACCGTGCGAGTTATGCATAAATTACAACGGCATCAGGCTCCTACAGTTATCATATGATGACTTTGTAAACTATCGTTACAGGATTTTTTTAGAGTTTCGGCCAGTTTTGAATGAAAATGTGTGCTGTTAAGCATGTTGGTCGGTTACTTTTGTTAATTTTTATGACTGTCTTGCATGATAGGATATCCGTCTCACGTTTCGGGAACGAAAGATGAATACATTGACTGAGTCAGCTAACGGTAGCTGTTGGTGATGGTGACAAAATTGTGCGTCAGTTAGAGCACAGAAAGTCAATTTTTGCAAATGTTTTGGTGCACGTAGAGTTCCACCATTATGCGCCGCATGTTTTGGATAACCGTTGAGCCTTCATGGACAACGACCGAACACCACATCTAGGGGACTTTTCTGTAGACATCACCACGCATTTGATGGGTACATAATCTCACATTTTGAAAGCAGGCGCAGCCAGGCGGCCATTTTGATTGTGTGAGCTGCATTCGGAGCCTTACCCAGCAAGCGAATGCAAAATAATATATTTGTAGAGCCGCCACTTTTGCTTCACATAATCCTTTGTTTAAGAAATAGGCTCAGATTGTGTTCTGCCAGGAAATATTTTGATGATCAGTAGATGCTTATTTTTTCTAGTCCTGATTAAAAACACAAAACATTGTCTCCATAACGCAATGATAGTGTCTGAGTGCTTTTGCCATGGATCACAAGTCGGGGAAACATTCGACATCTGACGTATGACTTTCATACAATGGCCATTGCAGCCTCTCACATCTATTAACAAGCTTAGGCATGTGTTTCCCAGCTCCACAATAAAGTCCCCAGTTGAGTCACTGGTCTTCCTCACGTCAGTTATTGTTTACCTGCATGGGCTCCGACAACAGCCGTTGAGCGCCAGTGCCTGGATAAGGCTATTAACTTCGCGGTTAGAATTGTTGCCGGCAAACGGAGACGAGATCACGTCACGGAATCCCGAAAACAGCTAAATTGGCCCAATTTCGACGAGACTGCCACCCACCGCAACTACATATGTTTGCATCGCGCCATTTACGTGCCTGATGGGCCAAGGCCCTGATAGCCCTTGGCCCTGATGGGCCAAGGGCTATCAGTAACCTGACCAGGCGCCGATCTGAAGCATCTCAGCGGCACACCAGAGCCACCGAAGACGAAACCGTTCGACAGACGGGCGCTGTAAAACACCCTCGCTTCGAGTGCGTGAAAAGAGCATTTCCCTACCGAGCTGTAACGGCGTGGAATCGCCTTCCTGCTGCCATACGCCAGTGCAAAAACTTACATGAGTTCGAGGGCAAAGCAATGCCTTTCATCAGAGAACTTACCTAAATTGGCCAACTGGCCATGACGTGCAGGTGCTGATTGTATCGCAAGTCGCTTATGTTATATAACATCGTATGTGTATCTTGCTTAGTATCGCTGGCGCTGCGTCTCATTTGCATGTGTTGCTTGTTTCTGTGTTCATCCATGTAATTTGTACCGACGCGGCGTTAGAAAAGCCACTCGCTGGATTTCGCCAAGGTTCGCAATAATAATAATAATGATGAAAATAATAATGATGATCGAGGACATTATTTTCTCCGATTGTCACTGTCTAAACCTGGCTACATCTGAAACACTGTCAATAGTCTGAGGAAAAACCCCGCTACCTGTAATTAGTTCCCGAAAGGAATGTTCCACATCGAGGATTTTGCGACAAGCGTCAGATGTGACAAAATAAGCCTACCTGTAACCGCTGGTATGCTTTTAAGTACAAAAGACTGTTTAAGACAGCAAACTTTCACTGTTAAGTAGGTATGCTCCTCAATGCTGCCATTGACATGACAGTAGTAATAGCCTTAATCCTCGGAGAAAAACCAGGAGAATGGAGATAAAGATGGGTCGAATATTTTGGCAACATGCCTTTATCGAACTAATAGCAGAAGTGTTGTTGTCTTCTGCTATTCCTTCCATGAAGGCATGTTGCCGAAATATCAACCCATCTATATCTCCATTCTTCTGGTTTTCCCCGTGGAATAAGGCTATTACTGCCGTATTATCTATGTGAATAATGTTCCTCGCAAATGCACTGAACAACGTACGTAATTTCAATACGCCATCGTTTGAGTGCATCATGGAACGTTTGGGGGACATGAGAGGGACACCTAAAATGGCTATGAGACATTGACATCATAGCGAACGGGGTGACTCACTTAGGATATTTCAACTTCTCAAGAGGTGCCACGTTAAACGATGTGATGTTCCCAAAACCCAAACATGATCATGTGCCCGTGTTTTCACCACTTCTCGTGGTGTTCTTGCAAGTAAATCCATGAAGAGCGCTACTACACTAAGTTATTCGATTCCCAGTTTTATTTCTGTCATAGCCCGTACCATTGTCTAACTTACTGTATTATACAGCACAAAGCGCGCTTAGCGTTCGAAACTTGCATTCAAACGCATTACCTTGATCATCAGGACCAACTGAAGCCCGGTAATGCCAGAAATCCAGCTGACGTACACCGGGTACGCATAGCTTGATGATAATGTTTTTTGTGACCTTGAGCGCTATAAGGCCAACGAGGTAGAAGAACTCGTGTGGCGTTTTTATGGCACCATGCATGTCTGGGCGACCTTAAAGTATTCTGCATGAGATAGTTTACCCAAGTTCGCGGGCGTTGAACTCAGGAACCATAGGGTTTTAAGTTTTAAAAAAGACAGGGCTGTGAACTGCCCAGATGCCCAGAATCTCAAAATGGCTGTTTCAGGTCAAAGTCCCACACAAATGTGGAACACTTCGTTTGAAATCAGACTCGTGCAGCTATGTAATGAAACTTCCGTCGCATTTGCATCTAGCGTTAGTTATTGTCCCAGGTCCTGAGTCAGGAAGTCGTGATTTGGCCGCTGAAGCTTAGCCTGATGGACAAGGAAAGGTGTGCTGGCAGCTGGCCAGCGAGGCATGACATGGCTGAGGCGGGCGCGTCGCATCATCGTGCGGCGCGAACATCTTGCGGCGCCCCGCCTGGTCAACAGGATTAGCGCTAAGAATATCCGATGCACCGAAGGGGCACAAGTATGGCAAGGGGTTAAGAGTTCAAGCGACATTTTGCAATCAGTACGCACTGATCATTTGAGGTCACAAGGTAAGTAGCTTGACATAAATTTATAAAACACCCGAGCAGATGGGTTAAAACAACGCTGCTCAGTGTCGGTGATATCTAGGTTAGATAATTTTGTGAAAATTGTGACTGCCTTCAGCATATAATCGTGCATGGTTGAGGGTATAATATTGTGCAGTGTCTGCAGTGCTTATGACAGCAAAACGCAGCAACGGAAAAACGCAGCAACGCAGCAACAACAGCATCCTCTGCAGCAACAGCAACAACAGCAAAACGGCAGCAACACAACTACCTAGCCAATCGCTTGCAGGAACGGGTTTTAACACGCAAAAAAACTCCGCTGCATTTTCTGTAAATTTGAATGATCATCACCTACAGGAAGGTTGAGAAGGACACGTACTCTACCTCTCCTTTCCCTCATCCCCTGGTCGTCAAGCCCATTCACAAGCTGCTTATAGGGATAACATTACTTGTAACACAGAAAAAAAGAAGCCCGTTATGTTCTAAATAACACGAATATCTAAAGCTAATCAAATTTTTGTATCATGCAGAGTCGAGTCATACAATCGAGTTATGTATCCGTACCCATCTGGAATGCTGCGTTCGACATGCAAACAATGCGCCGAACGCTACCGAGCTTGGACAGGATTTTTGTGCAAGCTCCCCGCTGCAATTTCACGAGTGCTCCAACCACGGCATGGTCGTTCGTCACTTACGCTGGGGGTCGACTGTCTGTCCGTGACGCGGGTGTCTGGAGCCGGTGTCCGGGCGCCGGCGTCTGCTCCTCCACGCTCAGCCGTGTCACCACTGGGCACGTGCGAGCCGCCCCCTATATAGTCTGTGGCCATGACGTAGGAGACGCACTCCGACGGCGGCGGCGCGGCGGCGCCGCCACCCACACGGGTGGCCACCCACACGGCGCCACCGCGGGACCCAGCGGGTCACGGTCCGTACATGGCGGCGCCGCGGGACCCAGCGGGTCACGGTCCGTACATGGCGGCGCCGCGGGACCCAGCGGGTCACGGTCCGTGCATGGCGGCGCCGCGGGCCACAGCGGGTCACGGTCCGTACATGGCGGCACTGCGAGCCACAGCGGGTCACGGTCCGTACATGGCGGCATTGCGGGCCACAGCGGGTTACGGTCCGCGCATGACGCTACCGCGGACCCAGCGGGTCACACTCCCTACGTAGCGGCACCCACATCAGCCCATCAGCCCACACAGCAGGACAGCTCATGGTTCCGCGGCGGTGGCGGCACGGGCCTGGCCGATCACCATCGCTTCCCGGGCCGCCGGAGCCCTGAACTAGCGGCTCAGGCTGAGTAAGGCCGGCTACTTATTCTTCCCGAACTCGTGGATGTCCCGGCTCCCATCCACGTTAAACGTCTGTCTGAAGTGCTAACAGTTTGATCAAGTGCGCGTTAAACTCAGCTGCATATTGTGAAGTACGGTCTGTCACCAATCATGCGGAAAGTTCAGCGTTTTACTACCCATAGGAGTGAGAACAATCTATCATGAAAGTGCCGAAAAATTCCAGCTCGAATACGCACCGCTGGGTCCGCGTCGAGCGGCGTTACGCGAGCCAATGTGAGCGCTCATGTGACTGAAATGGCCCCGAAAAATGCACGCTGGCAAGCTCTTTTCATGAACTGTCGGTTTTGTGATGCGTTTTTACCGCGTGCTAGTTATATGTTCAATGAAAGTAAGCAAATTTTGTTTTCGTTTCATGCGCAAAGCGAGCCTTGCGCATGCGCAGTCCTGCGTACGGCTTAGCAAAATGGATGCTTGCACGTTCGCGACAACGTAACGCATACACAGAGCTGCACTGGGTCGTTATGTTGAGCAACATTCGTTAGAAACCATATATTTTGCCTACATTTGTATTGCACACATCAGAGCTTGCTTACCAGAATAATTTGCTGCGAGGCTGATTTGAGCTGATTCAAATACACCGCACTGAACGGCTGCGACTCATGTGGGCGGATACATACTGCTTGATAACATCACCCTGCTGCTGGCGCAGCCATGTTCGAACCAGCGTTAGCCGAGCTTAATTTTCTCAGCAAAGAAAGTAGAACATACATTAAACATGCAGAAGCCGTGAGAGCCGTGCGGCGTGAGACGAGCGAGGCGATAACACTAGCAGACTTTCCAGCTACTATGGTATGCGGAAGATGCAAAGAACTGACCACTTTGAGCCGGAACCCTTATCAACCGGTGTCAAGGGGTCTATCAATGCGATCTAAAGAACCTTTCGTGATAATTCAAAAACTACGTGGAGGTCCACAGATATGCCCTTGGCGCGCTAATTCACAGAGCTCACTAAAAACTTACTATCAGGCTGGTGAGGCGTTGCGAGCATAATTCATGTTCTGTGTGATTTTTGGATGCTTAAACCCACACAATTTTGGCAATTGTGACCAAAGTACCGCGGAAAGACCCAGCGCTTTTGTTGTTGTTTTTTGGGGGCGGGGACCAAAATGAATAGCGTTATATTCCAGTGCAATTCCACGGCCAAATATGTCTCGTTGAATCCTCACCATCTCGTATTCAAGATCGGATTCGGAAACGGCAACATTGAATCTTTTCCAGTCGATTGCTGGCGCACTTCTGGTTAGCACGATTTTGAAATCCGCTTGTAAGTACATTTCAACACATAGCAGTCAGTGAATTTCGTGCAGCTAGTTTCACGCCTTTCCCTGTCTTGGTTGCTGAAATCGGACATCAGCTTTCAGCTTCGCCTCACTGTGACGCCGGTTTGCCACTACCTGAATACAGTGTTAACCCGCGTTCTACGACTTGCTTTGCATTTCGAAAATGTTATTCTTAAATTGCTTATCGTAGGTGAAGGATGCTAATAAAGAAAGAGAAGTGGAGTCGCAGCAGTAGTGGCAAAGGTTGGAATGAACTATTACTCCGCTACACAACTTACTTTCTAATTGTTACCTTGAAATTATTGTTTCATTCTTTCCTGATTAAAATGATAATTGTTCGCAATTTTGGTTCAGGTCGGTTTCGGTTCAGGTTGGTCACCACGCAAATTATCAATCATATGGCATAATGATAGCCGGCTTTGTTTTCGCGGCGCACCATTTTACATAGCTCCGTGTGTGGTCGGCAGCAAAATTCACCAAATCTGGAATGATCAGTTTTAAAATGCCACGAAGCTTTCAGGACCGGGGTCACAAAAACTGCGTACGTGTCTTTCCTATTGAAAACCATAAAATATAGTAAATCATGTAACTATTGAGAAACAGCGCACAGCAAGTTTTTAAAACATTCTGAATTACATAGTTTAATGACACATGCTTACAACCAAGCTAACCGCATGTATTTGAAAATGGGCGAAAATAGCGCTTCTTTTGATTCTTGCTATGACATCTACCCCTCACCCGTGTCGAAGAAACGCTGCGGTGAGCAATTCCTGGAGCATCAGCCTGTCAGCAGAAACTAAGGATGGAGCGCCAAGACTGAGAGCCTGTTAAAAAATCCATCACTTGTGGACTGTACCACCACGCAAGGCCATCCGTAGACACGGTCAGTTTGAAAAACCTAGTTCATTGCTTATCGAACTTTCGCTGTTTATTCTTTCCGAGAAACACGGGAAGAATTTTTGAACATTTAGAGAGGGATACAGCTCCACTTTCTCCCCCTCCTCTTCTCTCCCCGCTGTGATTTATAAATGACATTATTATCTTTAAAATTCACAAATGTAAGAAGATATCAAAGGCAACTTCACACCTCAGGTATCTTGGATTACTGCTTCACCAATCCCACACAGGACGATAGGGTAAGCTTGCTAGGTCGACACTCAAGGTATACTGGATGCACTTTATGTGCCGGCACAACATTAAGAAACATTGAGAAAAAACACCTTCATAGTAGATCAATAACGATGATTTAACCTGGGTTCAGCATCGTAGAAGGCTAGGCTTTTGCGAATCATTTCACAAGCTGGCAAGGGTGGAGCAAGCTGTGAGCTAGCATTTGGGAAAAGTTGCGCCTGTAGGCCGCACCCCTGCCGCGCGAGTTACACGCTTAATCCTTGCTTAATCTTGCCTGCTCTTAACTTCAACGGCAAGAGATGGTAGTTTGAGAACGAAAACGATGCGAGTTTATGTTCAGGTTGCGGAGCAGCCGTGTATCGCACGGGCAGATGTCTAGAAAGCTTCCGCGTTACGTCCGCCGTAGGAGGCGTCATGGTAAGCTATTCTGGAGCCAAACAGCCATGACGGAGATGCATTGTAGCAGGTACGACGGGCTTCTTCGGCCGGCTGGACGCGTAATTCCCGAAGCCCGACTGCATGTGGACCAAATGAGATTCCAGCTGGATGATCAGCTAAGTCCTTGGCGGGCGAAGACGGCCGCCGGGCGCGACGACGAAGACGGCCACGCTGCACCGGCCGCGGGCGCGACGGTGGCGGCCACGGGATGCCTGCCGCCTGCCCTGCTGACAGACTGGGCCCCAGGGAGTGGTCTGCGCGTGGGGGCTGTGGCCGCAGTGGGACGGCTGCCGAGATAACCGGAATACGGGTGCATTGAGAGGAAGCAGGGCAGCGCTGGTGTTGTCCTGCGCACAGCTGCTCCGACCAGGTGACTACATGACAGTGCAGTGGCATGCGCCAAACAAATAATACGGTACTTACGTACTCCGGTACTTAGCGTACAAGGGTCGGTTTTGGCAGCGGCGCGTCGGGGCCAGCCTCTCGTTTGAAGGGCGGCGAAATCCTGGCGGCGATTCTCCCAAAGTGGGATGGAGCCGTGACATAAAACCAGTTCATGGCGATCAATGCACGAAACGGCAACGAACTGTGGAAGTTCGCGTAAGGCATAAGGAGCGGCAAATCCGATCGGATCTGAGTGGTCGAAGAGCTGACATCAGGTCATTAACTTCACTTGCCCTCCCAAATGGCACCGAGCTACAAAATCCGCTAAAGCAGATTGGAAGCATATTAAAACACGCAAAGCAGCGTTGCGAACAGGATCAGTCGTCCATTGTAGCTCTTGAGTGAGAAATAAAACCAAAAGCAGAGACTTGCTTAAAGCTTACTGCGCAGCAAAACCTAAAAAAAGAAGGCAACTTCGCGGCTTGAGTTTGAAAATAATCAAGGGCCGTCGCATTGGTAGGTCAAAACCTATTAAACATGCGCTACGTGATAACCCGATCATGTAAGCAGGGTCATGTCCTTCAGAGCCCTGTGAGTCAAAAATTCTGCCTCACGATGGTTTACACAAGGGATTAACATGCCAGTGCAGTGAACGCGTTAGCCACGCCTTATCAAGCGATAATAGGTCCTTCCATTGACCACAGACGGTGTCCTGTCTCTGCTGCTCGTCTCATTGCACAGGCGTTTCAGTAGCCTTTTGTTCTCAGTTGTTTCGTCCTGGCTTCGCTGACCGGGAGGACAGTTTGAAAATTTGGGTTTGCGACAGGGCGTTGGTGGCGTTTACCTCAGACTTCAATGAATGTTGTCCCCATGGGTTTACGATACCTTCTGGAAACATATACGATGTTTTTTCAGGTATCTGCAACGAACGCCTCACAGCGCTCGCGTATACATAAAGAGGGCGGGGGGGGGGGGGAGCCGAGGAGTCGCCGTCCGACTTCCACGCAGGTTGTAGGCGATTTGGTCCATGATGCTGCACGAAAAACTGGTTGACAGATGAAGTTCGTTTTCCATGACCCACATACATCCCTGGAAGTCACCACATCACACCCGGCTCCCATCAGGCATGGCAGCACCAGACCTCAGGTCGACCGGGATATTCTATCAATGATGTTGAATGTATC